ACTGCCTCCTTGTGTACCGGCGTCCCGACCTGACCGAGGCTGCTACCAATATTACCCCGCTATAATGCTTCTGAGATTAGTGTACAAGAAGATCTCTCTAACCTCCATATCTTCCTTTAATTACTCAAAGCACTTCTTAACCATGAAGGTCTGTGTAATGTCTGACTGCCTCAGGAACTGCTTTTATAGAAAGCTAGAGATTCCAGGTGCAGCCAATTCAGTGATTTCCTCGTGAGAATTTCAAGAATGTGGCCTGCCTAAATTAGATGATCCTGCCCTTCGAGATTCACCCATGCTTCCAACACCTGCTCTGCTACAAATTGCTGATACTGTGTATTATTACTGTCAGTAGTAAAACAAACCAAACTGGGTAAAGACTAAAACAAAAAATGAAGTATCTCAATTGGTTACTGTTCATACAACTGATTGCACTTGTTATAAAATACTATTTTAACTGCATACGATGCAACTTTATATACATCTGAAGCCTGAGATCCTACATTTCTATGAGCCAGTGTATTGGAAGAAACTTCTTAATAAAGCACTATTTCATACAATAGTTCCCATCAGGAAAAACCAAATGACTTGCAGAAGGATGAGGCATACAGCTACAAAACCAAGAATGTTAATAGATCAAGGCAAACTCCTTTGTGAGGAAGACAGCCATATACAGTAACTATGAGTGACATCTGGTGGACAAAACATGCCATTTCATTGCAGAGAGAAATGTTCCACAGCTTTCAATTTATAGCCCATCCATCCATTTTGTAACCCCAGGCACAGAATTAGGGCCCCAGCACTGTGAGGCACCACTGTGCTACCCTAATCTATAGCCAATGGAGACAAATAATATAACACAATATAAAAACATAAAAAATACAATTTTCTTATGTTTTCTTAAAACATTCTGTGTGTCTTTGTGCTTACAAGTCAGTTTTCTTATTAGTGCACTATTTTTTCAATCTCAGGTGAAATCTGCATTTTTTCTTTCCCGGTTGCGTTATGCTTGCAGTACAGTTTACTGCACGTTTCCCAGGTGCTATCCATCAATGTTTTTATAGTTGAGCTGCTTGCTGCTTCACTGTCAGTAATGGTCTTTTGATCATCAAAAGACATGTGAGCAAACATGAAACAAAATTTCCAACTTGGTTGCCATCTCAGTTTCAAACTTCTGATTTCCCATATGGAGAATCCCTTCAGTTAAAAAGGTTCTATTCTCGTTAGTAGGTGCATTTTTAGAATTGGGAGAGAGGTTCCCATTCATTTTGTAGCCTTAAGGTTTAAAGAGAGAGAGAGAGATGTACTGTAATTGTATGTCATCTTCTGTTAAGTTTAAAAGTCAAATTTAGCTCCTTGTTGGCCTGTGTACTGTAGGTGTTATATAAGAGTTTAATACTTGGTAGTAGTCTGGGTTTTTGAGGTTGATAGGGACTTAGTCCTTCAATACACTGTGTTTGTTATTTGTAAATACAGTAGTGTAAGTTGTATGTCCGATGTGTGTGCTGTGGGTTGTTTAGTGTATATTGTCATTGTCATTGTGTATATTGTCATTGTATGTTGTTGTTTAACCCAGTGTGTCTGATTTACCGTATTACTCTTTGCACCAAAGCTGTGCAAGAGAGCAAAGAACTCTCTCTTGTGTAAAAACAAAAATTAGATTTCAAAGGATGTTGTTAAAAGGATAACTGCTGCCTTGTTGCCTGATACTGTCAGATCTTAGGAATTAAGTAAAGATGGTCTTGGGACTGGGGTGGAAGAAAGCAAACTACAGTGGCATCATAAGTGCCCTGTGATGGACTGGTGTCCCATCCAAGGTGTATCAACCCTAGTGTCTGTTGCTTGGCAGAAAAGATTCCAGCTCCCTTATGACTCTGTATTGAATAAATTAGTTAAAAATGAATGGATGGATGGCATTGTAAATGATATTAATGGATTGGATGATAGCATGCTCTCTTCTGGATCAGAATTTCCAAACCAATGCTCCAGTCTGGTGAGCAGACACACTATAATGCTTTCAATTCTTTGGAAGAAACGTTAAACTGATTAAATGGTCATTGATGACCCTAAAGCATTGTTCATATGAGTCCTGGTGTCATGGCTGAATTCCTCCATCCTGCCTTGCATAATCTGACCAGCCTAAATATTCTCCCTTAGTACACTATCACTTGTAGAACAGTTTAGACTTTGGATCTGTCACTAGTTCTGCGTTAGCTAAAGCAAAGAGAGAAATCAATCCAAAATTAGATAAAAACACCATTTAGAAACTCAACAGCAGTGAAGAGAAGGAAATAGCTTGCAATACAAATGCATAAAATAAAAAAACCTTCATAATGTATGTCTCAGTGTATAGTCAGAAATTGTGCCCAGAAACTGAAAAAAAAACTGAACAATTGAAACACCCTTCTTGTGTAGAATAGTTCCCTTTTCTTTATATCATCTTACACCTTAAAGGGATAATCAGGAAGGTCACTATAAACGTTTTATCGAGAACCTGTCTAACAACATTCACTACACTTGCATACTTATGAATTGATGTTATTCCCAGCAATCTTTTTTTTATCTGGGGTCATCCCATACAGTATGTCATCTTTCTTTTGTCTGATGTCTTTCGAACTTACTGTACATCTTTTTAATGCAGATGAAATCAGAATATAGGCGGAACTGTTTCCCACCTCTTGAAAACAGTGATATACAGTAGCTGTACATTTTTATAAAGAAAATTTTTTGTAAAGACAAACAAGTGTACATACATCAGTTTTCAATTTAATATTGCTGATAAATACCCATTTCTTTTTCTCAACTTTGACATTATGAAAGTGGAAGCTTTTTCTAATAACTCCTGGTTTCCCCTGTCAAAAACCAAATTTTTGTTGGTTTGGTAAAACAGGTACCTACAGAATGTGTCTTAGAAACTAAACAAAATTAAATGCAACTGGACTTTAAAGTGCTAAACATGGATCTTATATGGATTTTTCATGGAATAAGAAGGTAGGTACTGGAAAGGTGAAAAAATTAGGCGAGTTAATTAAAGATATAATTCACTGATACTTTTATATTACCTCCTGTATACCTGTAGACATGTACAGTACAATTAATTTCTAAGGTAAGAAGGGAGAGAATGTTGAAAATAATAGTTATTCTTATTAAAAAAGCCATTGGGAACATTATTTCTAAGTATCTGCTGCTGCACCATAAGGCACTGGATGATCTTGGTTGATGACTTAATATGCATGGGTATACTCCAGTTCTTAACCTTAAATTTCCGGATTCTGGTCTTCTTACTCCACTGAAGACCAGGCCCCATACAATAGGTGATACTTTCTTCTTATGTGCAGCACCACATCTATGGATCACACTGCCAAAATCCATTTGAAACTTTGCGACTTTAAGCCTTTCCAATACATTTTTTTTAAAAAAACTTTAATGTGTGAAATAGTCTCATTCTTGGTTTCAGAGTCAATTTTATTGTCCTTTTGTTGTCCTTTTTTTAAACTTTTTTGCTTCTGTTGTATGTAGTGCATGCAATTGTTTCGTTAACGAATTTCTTGAAAAGTGCTCATAAATAATACTATATTGGTAGAAACAGTTCTTGTTGGTGGATTGGTTAGCCGTTCCTGCTTTCTTCAAGTGGCAACGGTGATACATGATGATGCATAATTAATTGTTGCACAAGCTCTTCTTTCTATTAAGTATTACAAAACCAAATTTGACAATCCAGTGTGTTAACTTCTATTAATATCTGTTCAGCTTTTGAATGTATGTTGTGAAAAATTATACTAATTCTTATTAGGTCATATTTTATTTTTTGGCAAGGAAACTATATATTTTTTAGTAATTAATCTGCAGCTCCTTTAGCAAATCACCCGTAATGG